TGTATACTCTGGGAGAGGATAGTAGAAGCAAAATAGAACTTGAAATAATTCAAGAGTCCACAAATATAGTTGACCAACTAGATGAATCCGAGTATGATCCCATACCTGATGAGGGATTACTCTTGATCATGAAGTAGAGACTTTTGAGGACATGATAGTTTCATTTAAATCTAGTAGGATCATTTGACCTTTAAGAAGGTGTCGATCCATGATTATTAATCAGGTATTATTAATCGAGGATGATGAACCTACTAATTAAGCAGAAGCAGAATTAAGTGTTGACTCAAATAGATGTCAGGAGGCCATGGAATTTGGAATGAACTCAATGTATGAAAACAAGGTTTGGACCTAGGTCGACCATTCCGATGGGATAAGGCCCATATGTTGTAAATGGTTTACAAGGAAAATGTCGATATGGATAGAAATATCTGTACATACAAAGTAAGACTAGTAGCAAAATATTAATTGTTGACCTTGATGAAACCTTTCTCCTATAGCCATGTTGAAGTCCATTCGGATTTTGGTTACAATAGTTACATATCGTGACTATGGGTTAAAGCAAGCCTCTTGTAGTTGAAATCTTCGATTTGATGGAAAAAATCAAAAAATTTGATTTTATCAAATGTGAAGACGAATTGTGTATTTACAAGAAGATAGTGGGAGCATTGTTGCATTTCTAATTTTATATGTAAGTACATTTCAATCGTTGAAATTGTGACCGTTAAATGATTATTCATGAACGATATGGAAGAAGCAACTTGATCTATAGAGATAGCTTCAGAAGATTGCTTAACTCGTTCTAATCTACATAGATAAAATCTTGAGAAGATTTTATAAGGAGAAATTGGTTTACTCTTAAACGTTGTGTTAGAAAGGCTCCACACATGAAATAAACGTTGATTCAATAGCAGAAACCTAATACATGATTGTTTCAAAAGCAGCAAAAAGTTGCAGTGTAGATCAAGATGTTCATTAACAAACTTGGAGTAGTTTCTAACATTGTTGATCACGTGCCATTGTATTGTGGTAACAATAGAGCCATCGCACAAGTGAAGGAACTAAGGTCTCGTCAATGATCCAAACATGTATTAAGGCGGTATAATCTCATCAGCGAAATAATAAATAGAAATGACGTAAAGAGAAGAACGAATTCCCACAATTAATAATATTGCAGATCCATTGACAAAGAGTTGTCGCATTATAAACATGATCGTCATGTAGACTCTTATGATATTAGATGCATAAGTGATTGGATATAGTGCAAGTGGGAGTTTGCAAGTGTTATGCTCTAGGTACAATCGACTTTGGACATAAACATTTAATATATGTTGATGCGATTTATGGCAAATTTATTATTTAATTAATATTCAATTGAATTAAATAACGAAGTCTGTAGATTCAAATCTTAGTAATTTGTCAATCACAAGGAGTTGTGATTGTGAGATACAAATTACATATGATTGAATCTTAAATCATCCGTGGTCGTAAGTAATGACAAGATACGGATATCGTTATTACAGATAGACCATCACGTGTGACATTTCTTACTTGTAAAGTAAGTAACTGATCTTACAAGTTAAATTGTAGTGACACTTGAATGAACATGTGGATATTTTGTTATAGAACAAAATATTGGAGACCCGCTAAGATATTCCACATGGATAACTATCTGAGTGTAAGTGGTTAATCTCTAACGTTCGATAGTGAAATTGGTCATTTGACTTGAAGTTGTCATAGTGCCTTATATGAGGACAGTCATATTTTGACGGTGTTGGATGTTGCTCTGCCGAAGGCCACTAATACGACATCATTCGGACATGTCAAGAATCGTATGAAAGTCGTGAATGACCAATAGAGGACTCGTCACTCTTAGATAGTAAAAGATTATAATCTGTGTTTCATTCAATTAAGTCAGTATCGAGATCTTTGGCCAATGTGTACTCAGAAGTCGAAAAAAGTTTTTGACTTATAATGATTTAATTGTCGAATGAAAGATATGATCGTTAATCAGGATTGACACATTTTCATATTTCGTAATTGATCGGATTATATCGACGAAAGGATTAGAATTTCATGGTAAACGAACGTGGTTGATTTTGTCATACCACGTGACATTTTTCATCGCATGTATTGCCCTAACACATTACTAGATATCAATCTGGGATGACGAATGTGAGCTGGTGATAAACTAAAATGGTGTTTTAATTTAACAATTTTGATTATATCAAAATAATAATTCACATCTTTAGGTATCATGATGGAAAACCTAATGGGTCGCACACAAGAGGAGAACCGAAAGATTATGAGTTGTCAATTAATTAATTTAAAAAGTGTTAGATAAATTAATTAATTGTGTTACTTATTTATAGGCCCAAATTAATTAATTGAATTAATTAATTCATGGACCAAATTTAATTAAATGAGTTAATTAAATATTGGATTGAGTCAGACCAAGCCTGTTTAGGCTTATATAAATAAGTTACTATGGTTTTCAATTTGTAGAGAATTTTATTCTTACTAACACAAGAGGAGAAAAACCTTAGTTTCTACAATCTTGTTCTCTGTGTGGAATTCCATTGAAGGTTAGACAATTGGACAGCAGCGAGTGGCAAATCAATGTTGCTGAAATCCAATAATAGCAAAGAAGTTTGCAGATCTCACAAAATGTATAATTTCTATCACTATTTCTATTTAAACATAAAGAAATTTTTTGTGGGAATTGAAATTTGTTTTATTTTTCCGCTACGAATGATAAGTAAATTTCCAACATCAATCCCGTGATCATCCATGTAGGCACTGTAGCTCGACCTAGTGTAATAAAAGAAGCTAAGGTGTGAGTCACACTCATTGATGCTAATAAAACACTTTTATTGGTGCAAATTTGTTCTCAAGATAATAACATGTTTGCAATTGGGAAGCACAACCAAGAATCCTCCTCTAAACCCCAAATAGGCAACTGCTTTCAAATTTGTAATCGATAATAATCAATACAAACTAAAATTTTCCTTACTTCTTCTTTGTTGAAATATAACTATTTGTTGTGAGAGTGGTGGTTTGCTCACTACAATAGGTTTGGAATTGATTTAGATTATGTTATAGTCCAAAAGCCAAGTCATCATCTTTATTTCTCAAAGGATTGGGAAATTTTCAACATTAGGTGCTTGTTTGGTAGGGATTTTGATAATTAATTTTTTGACCGTTAGAGAGAAAGTGGGTCCTACCTTTGAAAGAAAAATTCAAAAAATAATGGCTGAAATAGTGAAATAACAGTCAAAAAATTGATTTTAATCGGCTTTTAAACCATACCAAACAAGCTCTAGATTTTAATACTATGATTTACTATGTGAGGAAATTTTGTCGCACTTTTGAATTGCTTAGTGGATATTTTAATAAAAGGAACACTAAAAGTGTGTTTGATTGACATGGAAAATATCACCTAGAAAAGAAAATGTTTTCCATCTTTTGTGGAAAATAAAAACCACCTCTTCCCAGGAAAAATATTTTCCTTAAAAACAAGGAAAATTAGGCATATTTTCAAAAGTTGAAAAATGTTTTCCATGGAAAAAAATAGCAATCAAACACTCCAAGTGAAAATTTGGATGGAAAATAAATGTAATCAAACACACCCTTAGTCATTTTGAATCACTGAATGATCGTATTTAATAAATCTTTTGATGGGAGATAATTTTGTTTATTTGGTATAAAAATAATAATTATTAACATGTGACACGCGACGTACGTGTAATTTTCTGTGAAGTGATTAGATTAATTCTTAAAAGACAACCAAACTCTTACAAGTATATTATCGACACTAGCCAACACAAAATCTAAGGCCCTGTTCTCTTTACCGTTTTCGGGCCGTTTTCTGTTTTCGATTTTTCAAAACAGTGAAAACGTGTTCTCTTTCCCGTTTTCGAAAACGAATTTTCGAAAACGAAAAAAAAATTTGTGAAGAAAACACAAAACGACTTTTTTGTCGTTTTGGGCGTTTTCAGTGTAAAACTTGAAAAAACTGAAAACGCGGGAAACCCCTTTTTTTTTTTTCGGAGGTGGTATGGTGATTCTTAAAATTTCAAAAAAAAAATTTCATTTTTTTTTTGTTTTGAGAAACAAACAAAAAGAACGCATTTTCAACAATTTCAAAACAAACACTCAAAACACAAAACTCAAAATGAATTTAAAACTCAAAACACAAAATTGAAACACAAAGAGAACACCCCCTAAGTCTTCCTCTTCTCATATTACATGTTAAATTTCATCTCCAGTCACTAAACTTTTAGCGATCCAATTACTTCATTAAATTTAATTTGTCTCAATTAGATCATTAAACTTTAATTTAATTTCCATCAGACCACTGGTTTAGTTTAAAATTTCACTAATATGTCATCCCTCAAATTGATATAAGTGCTTAATTTTATCATTATTAAAATGGTAGATATACCACAATGAATCTTTGACGTAATTATTGCGCGACATATCAACTTACTATTACATCATATCATAAACAAACAACACATCTTTCAATCTAAAGACATTATCGTAACTCTCGAATGACCTTTTTTGTTTCCAGAGATTGCAGGGAGATCAATTAAGATATTGTTGTCAACTAAACCTCCATTTGGTAGCAATTTTTCACTTCAAAAAATCAAATTTTTATTGTTATTTTACTATTTTAGCCGTCATTTTTTACTTTTTTCACTCACAAATGAGATCCACTTTCTCTTTAACGATCAAAAAATCAATTCTAATAATCACTGCCGAACAAACCCTAAACATTTTTTGTCAATTTTTAGACAATAAGTGACAAATGTTACACCATGGTGATATTTGGATGTACATTGAACTTCAGGGACCCAATTGTAACAAAATCAATTTTAGCGAGCAAATTGAAATTTTGCTGAAAGTTCAGTCAAAGCAAATAAAATTTACCCAAATCAAAGACCAATTATCATATCACAACAAGGCTGTTGAATATTCAACTGATCAGCTTATGAATAAGTCAAAAATATGGAACTTCTCAATATTTTTAAATAGACCCCTCAGCTTTGCTAAGAGGATTCAAGGTTAGAAGCTCAGATCGACCAAAGTCATCCAGCCGATCTCGTTCGTTCGTCAGGTTCCCGGTGATAAACAAGTACAGATTCTTCAGATCAATACTAGAATGAGTGAAGTGAAGTTGCTTGGCACTCAATCAAGCTTTCCCTGTGCCAGGATTATATGGGCTCTGAAACTTAAGGAGGTAGAGTATGAATTCATTGAAGAAGACTTGTTTAACAAGAGTCCTCTCCTTCTAAAGATGAATCCCGTCTACAAGAAAGTCCCTGTGCTGATACACATTGACAAGCCGGTGGTTGAATCACTTGTTATCCTCGAATATATCGACGAGACATGGAAACATAACCCGTTATTGCCTGAAGATCCATATGAACGAGCGACGGCACGTTTCTGGGCTAAGTTTGTTGATGAGAAGGTAAACACACCACTATAATTCCAATAGTCACTATGCACTTTCTAGTTTTTTTTTTTTTTTTTTACATCATTTCAGTATCTGTTAATTCTCTGATCGGTAACGCCTCAGATAATACTATTGTTTCAAGGTCAAATCTGCAAAATCAAACTATACTATTGGAAACTTTTGAATTGAAAATGAAAAAATATATGGTGTTGCTTATATATATATAGGTCATGAACATGGTAAGGTGCTACTTTCCCAAATCCCAGCATACCCCTGATCCTCTTAACATTAGACCACTGAATCTCTAATCCACCCAATATGCTTGGTGGTTGACATCTCTTAATTCATCAATACGAGAAGTAAATCGTTGTCCGAAGGAAAGGCCAGGATTATATGGGCTCTGAAACTTAAGGAGGTAGAGTATGAATTCATTGAAGAAGACTTGTTTAACAAGAGTCCTCTCCTTCTAAAGATGAATCCCGTCTACAAGAAAGTCCCTGTGCTGATACACATTGACAAGCCGGTGGTTGAATCACTTGTTATCCTCGAATATATCGACGAGACATGGAAACATAACCCGTTATTGCCTGAAGATCCATATGAACGAGCGACGGCACGTTTCTGGGCTAAGTTTGTTGATGAGAAGGTAAACACACCACTATAATTCCAATAGTCACTATGCACTTTCTAGTTTTTTTTTTTTTTTTTTACATCATTTCAGTATCTGTTAATTCTCTGATCGGTAACGCCTCAGATAATACTATTGTTTCAAGGTCAAATCTGCAAAATCAAACTATACTATTGGAAACTTTTGAATTGAAAATGAAAAAATATATGGTGTTGCTTATATATATATAGGTCATGAACATGGTAAGGTGCTACTTTCCCAAATCCCAGCATACCCCTGATCCTCTTAACATTAGACCACTGAATCTCTAATCCACCCAATATGCTTGGTGGTTGACATCTCTTAATTCATCAATACGAGAAGTAAATCGTTGTCCGAAGGAAAGAATATCTCGACATAACTCTCATTCACATCAGCACAAGAATATAGTGCTTGGTGATTTAAAAACTTCATCTCGACATAACAAGTTTCCTTGAGGTGTCCTCTAGTTGCCAAGGATCTAGTAAATCTTCTTTTTTTACCTAGGAGGGATATAGCTTCAGACTGAGGTTACCTCTTTCATTGCAGGAGCAAGTGTCTAGGCATCTCCTCCTTTAGCTTGAACATTTTGTTCTTTTTCTTCATTTGACATCAAAATTCTTTTCATCTTGCTTTGCCTTGAACTTTTGGGACTTGTTATCTTTCAGTGTCGAAGCAGATGTGGCAATGAACTAAACGAAACCAAGAAACATGATATATATAGCCTACACAAAATTTATAAGAACAATACTTTGTTTTTTGTTGTGGTAGTGTTTGGTAGTTAAAATACACGTATGGGATTGCACTCTTTTGGATATGGGATTTCTTCTCACTGCGAACACATACTAACCATTTTCGACAAGTACAGTGTGTTCTTAGCGCATGGGAAGCTGTAAAGTCGGAAGGAGAAAATAAGAAGAAGGCCATTGAAACTGCACAAGAAATGTTTGAACATTTGGAGAAACAGATTGCAGGGAAGAAGTATTTTGGGGGAGAGAAAATAGGTTACCTGGATCTAGTCATTGGATGGACGTCTCTATGGCTCAATGCCATGGAAGAGGTTGGAGGAATGAAACTGCTTGTTCCCGAGAAGTTCCCTTCGCTGAGCGAATGGACTCAGAACTTTATCCGAGTTCCTGCAATCCAAGACAGCTTGCCTCCATTAGAAAATGTTGTCAACTATTTTCAAGTTGGCCTCAACTACTTGCGCTCCTTATCTGCCAACAAATCATGATCCCAACACTTCTACACAACAGAAGATTACTTCACATTCATAATTTGATAGTTCATGCCTCAAAGATTGCACAACTGCCTTTTATGTTGTTATGATACTCTGATATATATCCTGTCCTGTTTCTGTAAGCTAAAGTTTTCAGTATTTTTCCTTTCTTTTTGTCTGAAGCACTACCAAGAAATCTACACTATACACATTCTTTAAGGTCAATAGTTTTAACTATACATCATGTGAACAAATTCAGGCTATATTCAAGTTAATCTAATGTGAAATGTAAATTCTCCAGAAATTGTTAATCCAAGCCTTGAGATACCAAGTTTTCATTGAATCTAATAAAGCATGTAGACTGGCAACACTCAAAGGAATAACAAAATACAGCAACTGAAATTTTGAAATCTTGCTCTACTTTTGCATGGCATAAAGACATAAGATCCTTCACTTGATAGTAGAGGAGAAATATCAAGTTATCTGAAATAAATTTCAATCTAGAAAACCCAAAAATGTTCAATTTTCTCAATCACTGTATCGTTTAAATGGAAAAGACAGTGAAGATGCAGTAACAAGAATGTACACTGAAAACGTTCATTTTAGGCAACTTAAAGAGTCAGAGCTTCAAGTTTACAAATTCATTTGGAAGAATATTCATGAAACCGTGAGATAATAATTTAAATGATCACTGAACTTTGCAAAAGGTTTCCGCGAGGTCTTGAACTTAAAAATCACCCAAGCAATTACTAAACTTTGCTAAATGCTTGCACGGGATCACTGAATTTTAAAAATCGCCTCATTCATCATTAGACTTTGCAAAAGGTTTCCCAGGGATTACTAATTCAGTGATCTCCTAGGAAACCTTTTACAAAAATTTACTGATCCTGTGGAAACTTTTTGTAAAGTTGAACGATGAATTTGATGATTTTTAAAGTTCAGTGATCTCGTGAAAACCTTTTGTGAAGTTCAATGATGACTTGGGTAATTTTTAAAGTTTAGTGACCCTTGAAAACTTTTTGAAAAGTTCAATGACTATTAGAGTTATTATCTCTTGAAACTGCACACTAATCTTCAACATAGCCAGATAAAATTCAAAATCATTTTCCATCCTATATCAGTAAATCTCATTATTCTAGTCAACTTGATCCAACAGCTTCACAAACTGAGATGCCTAAAATTTCGATTGGTAATCATATGGCAAATACCAAATAAGAAAAATAAGCAAATGACAAAAGAATAAAGGAGTAAAATTGACAAGTGTGATCCTTTTACATATTTATACATCTCAGTTGGATTGAAGTCATACATTTACCGAATAAATTATGTATTGTAGCAAGTTTATCTGTATAGGCATACGTATAGAAGTGTAAACCAAGAGGACAATGAATTAAAATCTGGTGACTCGTTGACAGCGGACCCAAAAAGCAGTCCCTCCACTTTTGCCCCGAGCAATAGCCATCTCCTCATCAACATAAAACCAGACGAAAAATGGGTCTTTGTTGCTTGGCTCTCGTTCATCTTTTCCTTTGATACTAATCTCAAATGGGTTAAAAGGACCAATTTTTACCCGAATCTGCTCAAATATGAATGCAAGTATTCTATTTTTCCATGAAAGCCTCCCTTCAAAGGTCAAAGATCCTAGAGGGCCCAAGTAAACTCCATTTTCAATTCTCTTCACCTACAAATCAAATAAAAAGATACATCAACACTGAAGTATTGAAGCTTTAGTTAGCTAAAATTGTTAACCATGTCATCTAAAAGCTTACAGACCAGTATTCATTTGAATTTTTGTTTTCAACAAATATAAGTTAGCTGGATATGGATAAGGGGACGTTGAATACATAGTTGAGCTACCACAACAGTTATAGATCTTAACATAGCTAGGTTCTCGAATTTTCATTCTCTCCTAACAAGAGGAAACTTGTATACAATTAAAATGAAAATATAACATAAACAGAGAGAGGCACATAATGAGTGGTTACCAAAATTCTTCCGGAATCTTTACTTGTATTATCCAGTTTCACATGTTTCCTGCATAATATTTTCTCGTTTCTCTGTTTTCCCTCCTTATTTGCGCCTTAAAGTACAATGCATACAAAGCTATTTTCTTTCTTCCATCTCCCCAGATTGAAAGAATTCATATGATAGCTCAAAAAATAATTTCCAGAACTTTGGATAAAATACATTGAATGCAAACAGATTCAGTTCAATAATGTAAATAAAAGGAGTGCATTTCATGGAGTGACATTGTTGAAATTACCACGAGAATAAATTGTAGTTCAAAAGTAAGGTCGTAGTATAGAGATATTGATAAGAATTATACTTTCAAAAGTTAGTTTCTTCTGTCCACCATTTTTTTTCTTTCAATTTATGCTTCTATATCAACAGAAATTTCATAGCATTGGAAAGAAATAAGTGGGCAGAGGTCATGAAGAGTCTTACTGCAGCATCAAACCTTTGAACGGCAGTAATTGGGAAATATCTACCGCCTTCCAATCGTTTCTGCCAAAACACAGGTATAAGCACCCAAAAAGGGGGAACCACGGAGAAAAATAATGGTGTAATTAGACGAAAGATTAAATAATAACCTTAGCGGTAAATATAAGCATCCAAGTTCTTCCAGGTGAGTGGGATCCTCCAAGAGTTTCAAAAAATCCCGACGGATCAAGTTTTGCCTTCTCAATCACAGAAAAAGCAGACAGAATTTCCTCTGCTGGAACTTTTCTCGTCTTGGCTGCATTCTTAAGCAATTTCACACTCTCTTCAACTTCCTAAACACAAATCAGAGAAGAAAACAGCTCCCAAATCAGAAATTATCTAGTTCATCCTTGGATAAGCTTAAAAAATATATTTATATCTCACTTATGAGTAAATATGTAAATTCTTTCTTGAAGGTGGAAATACAATGTAACAGTCGAGTTAAAGTCCAATTAACCAAATAAGTAAAGTTGTCAAACAAATACATAAATTTACTTAAAATTAACTTCAATTTACGTCAAGCTTAGACAAACATCAAGGGTCGTGGAATCAAGAAAATTAGAAAGCAATGGCAAGATAATTATATGCTATTTGAAGATAATAGAAAAATTACCTTATTGGGTAGTTTTTGTTCTTCTTCTTCTTGAACAAGAACTGGGGTAGTCGAATTTTGGTTCTTCTCATCAAGGGTAGCTCTGGAATTTACTGAGGAAAATCTAAGTGGATAAAGATTTGTGGTTTTAAGGAGAAGAAAAGGGAATTCGATGTTTTTACGATTAAACGGTGTTCGGAAAAAGCAGTATGAAGATCTTGGGAAAGGTTGAGATGAACTGGGAACCACCCAATTCGAAAGGGCTGATGATGTTAGCGACTCCATTTCAGTTCACCTTCTATGGGTGTAGCATTTTATTTTTAAGTGAAAAAGGTGAAAATTTGATTGAGAGGAAATTTGATTTAGAAAAATAAATTATCATTTGTCAATTTTGTCCACATACTCAACGAGTGAAAAAATAAATAAATAAATGAGAGAGAGAGAGAAAATTTTCCAAATTTCACACAGTCCACTGCTACGGTCGGATCCCATCGAGAGTTGCCATTTTTATAGTCTATCCAACATCGACATCCACAAAAATCGATTGCTATCTTTAACGAGGTTAGTTTTTTGTTGAATTAAGAGGACGATTTTTTATCTTGCATATCTTGTGAAATTTCTTATTTAAATTGTTTTTTAGAATGTTTATTCTTCGTTATTTAAGTAGATTATTAATTTAAATGAATTTGGGCAAAAAAATTGGGCTTAGTCATCGAAAATGGCCATTTTCACGAGAATTTCACCGACAATTTAATAGTCGGCACGGGCCGACTGTTTTTTTAATTTTTTCTTTTCTTTTTTCTTTCGTTTTTTATTTTATTTTTATTTTTTCTTTCATTTTTATTTTTTTATTTTTTTATTTTTTTCTTTTCTTTTTTCTTTCTTTTTTGTCCCCCCCCCCCCCCCCCCTTCCCTCTCTTTTTTTTTTT